CCCCAAAACCCCAAAACCCCAAAACCCCTCTAATTGATTATCACCCAAAATCAAAATATAATGATAATTTATGTCTAATTAAAATATTTTAAAATCCTAATCATTTACTCATAGAGTGCTCTATATTGTGCTTAGTGTTCTATGGCAATTAGTTTTAACTACTGCTGGTAAAAACTCAACAAACTATTCCTTCTTTGAAGCCATAATTCCCATACGCTTGCAACCGAAGCAAAATGCTTGCTCCAATTCAGAGCTTAGCCAATCTGAACTGCTCTTTATACTTTCTACTTCATTTGTGCCATCTTCTTTAATTTTAATTGACTTTATTGTGGAGCCCATTTCAAGCAAATTATTGATCTTATCTCTGATTCCAAAACATAATGGGCAGAAGGGGTACGGATTGCTCTCATCTTTGAAATCAGTCTTGAGCAGTTTGTTAGTAAGTTTGACAACAGTTGGCACAGTATTAACATTGAATTTATCCTATAGTCTATCAAAGAACTTTTCTATCAGATAGTCTGCAGATCCGAATGCAGGAGAATTTGTAAATGGGTTATTGATCTAAGCTAATGATCTTTGTTGAATAATGTCAACTTTATGCAAATAGTTGTAAAGGGCAATCTCCTTGTGAAGAAATTCTCTCATTGGATTCATGAAAGTAATTCTGCCACCGAAGTTCTTGTCATCAATGTAACTGATTTCATGAGCTATAGAAGAACCTCTTCCTTTAGCTAATTATGATAGAAGCTAAGTAGCGACCTTATGCCCACTTGTCCCTAGTAAAATCTTTTTGTAGTTGTACTTTAAACCAAATGAAGATATCACCCATCTCTTTAAGTAGAATATGAGGTCTTCTCTGAAATTTGAATGAGTTGGAAGACTCTCAATTAATGTCATTAATTTCTGTCTCTTTTCAAGAATATCATCTACTTCTAAGACTTTATTTACTATCTCATCTTGGCCAGTTGGAGTGGAATGAGCCAGTTCATCTTGCTTCTTCTCTTCCTCTATTTTTTATACAGTTTCCCCATCAATCTATCTCAAATCGATCTCATCGCTGATATCATATACATACTCTAGTGGTAGAATGGTGTAAGTAAAGTTGTATCTGTTGCAGGCGTCTATAATGAACTAAATATTTTTCTCTCTTTTTTCCTCATCCCAACCATAAACTACACTTCCTTCTTCAATGTAGAGAATATGAACTCTGAAAAACATCTTTCTATTTGATACAGTTCCAAACAGACTCTAATACATTAAATCTATCAAAGCCATCGAATTAGATCCTCCTGAAATACATATCAAGTTAAGATCATCTTTCCAAATCTTTAGGTTACTTCTTAGAGATGACTTGAACCTATGCACAAACATGACTAGGAAGCATTCCCGACATACCTTGTCCTGCTTGGTGGTAAAGTTGGCTCTCTTTGTCTTGCACTTGAAGCATCTGAATTTTATATCCTCAACCACTGTGGCTTGCTTAGATGGTTTAGTATCCTAAGTGGACTTAGTTGTAGTATCAATCTATTCACTAGCACAGGCACAAGAATTGCCCTGGCAACATGACTATGTAGTTGACTCTGAAGTCTTATTAGTAGAGCAACATCCTCCTTTATGTTTATGAGAGCTACTCGATGATTGACTGGAAGAAGTTAGAACAGGATCTCCCCCAGAACAAGGGTCGAATTCTGGAATCACCATTGGATGAATATCGTCTTTAAATTCTTCTTAATGAGAATCCTCATTGAATAAGTCTTCAATGTCCATTATATATTATGCAAAATTTTATGTATTTAATTACAATTATTTAGCAAGAGTGTGTTAATTTATAAACATAAAAGAACCAATAATAATTCAATTCTAATCTAATCATAATGATTGATTGCATATCTATTAATCAAAAGTCAAGCAAACTTCCTATGTCGTTATTATTGGATTAACCCACATTGCTTTAAGTCTAAATTTGCATGCCAAATCCCGCACCATTGATTTATCCAGATGTACTGCTATTAAAGTCTCCAAATAAATCATTGTCTAACCCGAAGGCATTACTGCTAGAGTTTGATTATAAACTATTAGTATTCATAATACCAAATTAAGGTTATTGCTATTACTGCTGTGGCAATCCGCTTCCGAAGGATAATCCAAGATTAAGTAGATCATCTTGGCTTTATTAAACTGGCTATTAATTTATCTATGGAGCACTTCCAAACATACTTCCAGAGTTCATTGTGGTATTGCTACTTCCTCCAAATGCTCCGAAATTTGATGTTTATGATGCTGAGGTTTTTCCTGGTGGAGGAGCCAGCTTTTTCAAGCCACCTCCAAATCCACCTCCTGATTTTTACTCTATCTTTTTACCTGTTGTCAGTCCTGGAATATTGATGCTAATCTTTTCACCTTCCTTTAAGGAGAAATCTTTGGATGGCCCGGACTTGAAATTAGACTAATCAACTATACCCTTTGCTAGTCTAGCCTGCTTTTTATAATCATCCAGTGCTGCTATAAAATCAAAAGAATCATTTCTTTCTGGGAATCCTACACCAACTAGTGCCTTTTAGCCATTGTCATTGACCAACATCAGAGCAAAAAATCTTGATGAGTCAAAACATCTTTGCACAAATGGATCATAATCTTCAACAGTAATAACACTTTAAGCGAAGAGGGAATCATCTTCGTTTATTAATTAAACTTTACAAATACTGCCACCCTCCATCATGACTCTGCAATAGCCAGTCCAGATCTACTTGCCTCTCCAGTCCTCTGCCTTGTGCCCCTTGGCACTTGCAATAGGAGGAATTTGAAAGGCGTTGACAACTCTCTTATTCATGAGAGTAATCATGATTGTATCAATTTGCGCAAGTTAAGAAGCCAAATCCATTTCAAATTACTTAAAAATTAACTATTATTTTCAAATTAATAAAATTTACTTCTATTTTCATTCCAATTTTAAGTAAGGGGTTTTGGGGTTTTGGGGTTTTGGGG